ATGGAATTCTTTTCTCATAAAAAAATGATATCAATAACTCTAATTGCTCAGAAAGGAGTTGGGGACATGCTGCTCTAATTGAAAAAGAAAAACATTCTTAGCAAATAACAGGGAATATGGGGGATATCCTATATAATAAAGGAGTAATATGCAAATCAACCAAATGGTGGAACGACTGGTCGCTATGATGCACACTGACCACCAGGGGGAAGATGCTCAATGTAGGAGTTGCCCCCTGGTGGTCAGTGTGCTCCCACAGGGGAATGCCACAGCCAGAAGCCCAGAAGCCGGGCTCACAGTTAGCGAGTGCAGTGGTGGTGGCAGGAGCCTCTCCCGTCTCTCAGCAGCACTAAGGATGTCTGAATGCCAGCTTAGGCATGGGAGTGGGCCTAAACCGGCAGTCAGACATCCCTGAGGGCTCCCGGACTGCGAGACAGCTCAAGCCGAGCTGTGGGATTGCCCTCCCCCCCCCCACCAAGTGCACGAATCTCATGCACCAGGCCTCTAGTTACTATATAAAAAGGGAGAATTAATGTTTTGAATCCTATGAAATGCCAGAAACTTAAACAACCAGTTACATAATTAATGCAGCAATTGCATTATGTTTTATCACCAAGATTTCACAGATGAAGAATTTGAAGCTCAAAGATGTCACACAACTAGTAAGTGAAGGAGGTAGCAGCTTCGGTTAATTGAAACACATCTTAAATATCTGGAATTGCAAACTGAGGGAAAGAAAGACTAGCAAATGAAAAAGAAAGATGACTCCAGGATATGTATGCATAACTTACACATTTTTCTTTTCATCATTTCACTCCCGCCCCCCTTCCCAAAGTATGTTAACTGAAATCCCCTGAGAATAAGATGGGGAAAGTAGTAAGTCTTAATACAAGAAGCACAGAACAAATGTGAATGGTCCTAAGAAAAAGCACAGGAGGCCACAGAAAATATTGACTATGTTCTTTTCACATTTTACGACCACAATTTCTTTACCCCCAACTGAGTAATTTCCATAGCAGTTCCAGTGAGGTACATGAATACTGAGTCTATATTTCATTGGTGCTGGTTTCCTTTGAATATGGAACCAGTAAAACTAAGAC